CTAAAAAGTTGCTATAAAGTTACATCGGAAATACATACGTACTTGTAAATTTTCGTTATAAATAATTAAACTTTTGTAAGTCATGATAATAGTTCAATAAAGCATGTTAATGTATTTGTGTTCTTCATCGTAGGCAGTTTAATTTTTGTACGCGTATGCGTCTTACTTAAAAAATGTAAATACTGCTCGCATATGCAATTCACTAGTTATTGGAACTCGCGTTAGTAAATTAATATTTACTCTTTTTGTTGCCGCTACTATTTATTGATTATAATCCATTCATTTGATTGTTTTTCCGTCCTACAACCGATACATTTTTTATCTTCATTTTTGTCACAATAAACCATCTAAAATTATTTATTATTCTATCCCACATCATAGAAAATTTTTAACTCATATCTAAGTCGTTTAAAATTACAAAATTGATAGGGGAATATGACTGTGTTTGTTTTAAGAAGGAATTCTTTTAAGGATTGCAGCGCAACAATTGAAACTATGTGAATATGAAAGCACACAAATAGAGCATAAATTTTGTCTATTTGATTTTCCAAATCGATTGTTATTAACACGTGGAGAGGGATGGGAGCTGACTGACAGCATATTCATATTCCCTGCCCCCACAAAAAATTTTTTTAGCTAAATGAAATAAGCGCAAAAAATTTTTTTTGCAGATTTTGGGAGCGTATAAATATCACATTATTATAATTTATTCATTAAGATTTGATTAAATGGAAGGCCCAGCTAGACAGATGTGTTTCCCCGAGTAAATAATATGCATATTAAAAATAAAGATAAACATAATTATTAAAATTAATATAATAGAGAAAATAATCTTTTTGTTCGATTAATTGTGCTGCAACTTTAAAACAAATAATCAATTTGAGTTAAATCAAGTTAACAGAGATCATATGTGAAACAATGGAAAATGGAAATGATGAAAGAAATGTAGGTACATCATTATGAATAGCCAAATCGCATATAGAAAAGATATTGTTTGCTTTTATTAAACATCAACATTAAAAATACGTGAAGTAAAAATTGATATATAAACATAGATGTTTACAAAAGTAACTCTTGAAGTTTAATATCATAATAATGATAATGTGTAGAGAGCAAATAAGATATAAAGATAACTCTTTATAAGATATATGTTTCTCTGCTTAAAAAAGAATTTAAAAATATTAGAAGATAAAAATAAGAGTTTTATTCCACAACTTTCATTTCTAATTAATTCTTCAGCAAAATTCATTAAAATAAAGCCTGTTTGAAAAAAATACCCATAAAATAAAATTATTTCTTTGTGTTCTTAACATTCATAAAAATTTTTAATGGTGTACTTTCGAAAAATTACCAACAAAAACGGAGTATGACTTTTAATAAATTTTTTTTTAAGGAAAAAAATACATTTTCAAACTAATAAAAAAAATTCATGTCCGTAAAATTGTACAATACTACTTGAGATTCGATAAATATTCGTTATGTAATTATGCCTTTATGTATTTCTAGATTTTTCATTCGATACACTTGCCTTATATAATTGTATTAATTATAAACGTTAAATTATATATACATTATAGATAATGTAAATGTTGTTCTTTCTTCATCGAGAGCAAAACAATTTCTAGGCAACACAGAATATTTATAATGAATATTTATTAATATTCATTTTTTGAAATGTTAGATATTTCATACATATTTTATATAAAGCTTTATTCGAAATATTATTAAAATATAAACTTAATATTTTATGTAATATTTATGATAAATATAAATAAATATTTCTAATAAGTACTTTTTAATTGGATTATAATGTTTCATTAAGTATTTTCATAACATTTGCTATAATATTTACTATAATATTTACAATAAATATTTTATAATATTTATAATAAATGTTTATGATTTATATTGGACGGTGGATTGGTAATAAAAATTTCTACGTTTAAAAAATCTATTATACTATTATTAGGCGCTCAGAGCCCACATGTTATTCATGCATAAAATATTAAAACAAAGTTTTTATTAATTCAATCTAAATATGCATGTAAGGAGAGAAAATATCCGAAGCGCGAGATATTCAGAATATTTTTTGAAGAAAGCGATCATTTCTGAAATTTTTTTGTTACCAATTTCTAATTGAAGCAATTTAAAAATATCTTCAAAAATTCGATCTTCTCATGATATTTTCTACTTTCGACGTTAGTTTTCATATATAATTATCGCTCTATATCGTCAATACACATCTTTAATACACATGTTGATCGTGTTCAAAAAATAAATTAGTTCTGAATTGTCATAAATCTTAATAAGAGAGAATAAGCTGACTTCGAAATTGAACTTAAATATTTAATTTCAAAGTACTTGATATAATGTTTGCGTATAATTTGTCATCATTAATAATGCAAAATAAAATAAATATTTTTTTTCTGTAAAAACAATCTCATCAAAGATTCTCTTCAAGTCGTTCTAAATAACAAATATTTAGTTATTAAATTATGCATCAAACAAATCATCTGCATTTAAATGCAGAATAACTTAAAACAGAAATCAAAGAAAATCAAGGAAATCTTAATCATCGCACAATCTAAGAGGGCTTTGTCAATCGCTATATCTATGAATCCCGTTTCAATTCAAAATTATTCCGTATTGATTAGAACTAAACGGTACTTTTTAACGGTAAATATCCCAGATGAAAAGTTTGGGACGCTTCCGCGTTTCTACTCCGCATTTAAGAACTATACACAATATTCTATCAATACCTACATTAAGATTATAAATGCTTTGCCGGTTTATGTTCATTTCTACCAATGGATAACTAATTTTAATCTCGATTCAATTTACTCTTTATTTTTTCTAATTCTTACTAAGCCCAGTTTCACTAATGTAAAATTGACTTTAATTTCGGTTCAACTTATTTTTTTATCTTATTTCGATTCTAAAAAAATAGAAAAAGATAAACAGTAAGTTAAACCGAGATTAACCTCCATCTATAATCTGAGTCTTTTTTGGCAAAATTTCACTTTCATTTCACTCTCATTTTTGCTGAAGTTTTAATTTTTATTAAATATATTAGGTGTTGGAATTAATTCGTAGCGTTTTTTAATGAAAGAATGTTATTTATTTCACATGAGCATTAAAAAATACATTAATGAAAGTACTTCCCATCACTTGTAAAACGCTACGAATTAATTCCAACACCTAATAAATTTGAAGTAACATTTGAAGTAAAAAAATTATTTAGTATTGTAATAAAAATGTTAAAATGTAATGCTAAATGTTTTTGAAAGTTTAGAACAATAAAAATAATAATCCGAGCTGAATAAAAAGGACAAAAGGATCACATTAAATTCATAATACTCAATTTGAGTTATTTTTAATCATTTCTAAAGTTACCATCGCTTCTATCCAATGTATCGTTAATTTAACTAAAACGATGAAATTAAACTCAATTTAATTTCAAGGAAATATATTCAATTTGTCTCAGATTCAGTTTATTATTTAAGTGCATATATTAATATGAATGATGTTTGCTTTGAAACTAATTACAGAAATGAATTGATTTACAGATAAAAGTTAAAAATAACAAAATATTATTTAACTCGAGGGAGTTGTTTCTTTGATATTTAATTGTATAATAAATAGTACAGATTGCAGACGGAGAAAGCAAAAATATGATTGAATTGAACCAGGCTTTAAAACTAAAAAAAGATGACAAGTTGAACGAAAATTAAACTTAATCTATAGATTGGTGGAAATGGGCATGTCGTTATCACTCCCAATATTAATATACGTGTACAAAAACGAGATCAATCATTCGATAGAAATTCCTTTTGCGCTGATTTATTCCGTCTAAAAATAAATCAAGCTCGTGTAACGTTGATAAAAATGCTTCTTACCGTTTCTCATCCTTTCAAGTGTACTTTGATGTCGTGATCACGAGATATAAGTGAGTACATGTACAAAATACAAAAGTTGTCTTGTGCGTTAATTTAATTTATGACCTACAGAAAACCCCCGAATCGTTGCAACCGTTTTGCTATAAATTTGTCATCCACCAAAAAGCTCTGTTTTTTGAGAACCAAATTAAAAAAAATAAATAAATAAATCCGATTCTTCTTTCTGGTCGGCTACGAAATCCCTATATAATGCTTGACGATTAAAGATGCCTCTACATAATTCGGAAACGCAAAATGAAGATTTGCATTTATTTTTTCATTGCGTGCGATTGATTTTCATCTGCGTGTATCTTGCGTGCAGTTATTATCATTTTGCATCAACATTTGCAATTTGCGAATTACGTGGAAGCAACCTTAAATCTAATCGTGTTGCTTATACTTTTTACATTTCGAATCTTTTATTTTTTTTTTCAGCTTGAATAATATATTAATATATAATAATATATTTAATATATTCTCTAAAACTTTTAGATTGAATCTCATTCTAAAGAAAAAAATCCCGGTAAACAATTTTTCATGAATATGTATAATTATGTATAAATATATATAAACACGCACAAATATTCATAAATATGTATAATTATATATGTATATGCATATTTATATATGTTTATATATATTTATACATATTGCATGAACAATTTTTTATCGGGATACTTTATTCTACAGAGCTATAAATTCCACTCCAAAGAAGAATTAAGACAGTTTTTTATCTCATTTTAAGTGCAAGAATTTTTGGAGATTTCATCACGAAGAAATCTATCGTTAATCTCTACATTTAAAATTTTCGCAAGATGGGACTACACAATGATGCGTATGGTTATTCGATTTGCTTTCTCTCGAAAGCTGCAGCATGTATCGCAAAAAGCATCGATATGTCCAGGAAACAGTCTCTTCCAGCGAGAGGCGAGACGAAAAGCGATCGAAGGAAAGCGTGACATTGCCGAATGACGATTTGTAACACAGGAAACGACCATTCGGAATGCGCCGGTTTATTTCGTTAACAGAAGAATGAGACTTTCGTTTCAAAATTTAGGAACTCACCTCGAAAAGGGCCAGCAGCAGCTTGATGTATAGCCTACGCACACCAAGGGATTTGCCGATGGATGCGAGGAATACGATAGCTAACAGTAGCATGATGAAAGGTATCAGCAGCAACGAGAACACGAATGACATCACCGTCCACAACGACGCCATTTTGCTGACTGTTGTGGACTCGGGACTCGGGACTGCCAGGAGCTCCGAACTTCGTTCCAAACAATAGGAGTATTCTGGGATGTCAGGACACTCCGAAGTCCAAACGCCGGTCCGTTTCTCACTCAAGACTATCCGGACTCCGGACTATCGTCGTGGAGGGGACTCACGGAATACAATTTAGATGAGATGGGACACTCATCAGTAGAATTCTTTTAGATGTGTGATGCGCCATCTACAAATAAAGTCAAGAATTAATATTATGATCTTTGCACGGTAATTGATATTAAGAACTTATACTGATGGAAGGGAAATACGGACGTCGAGCTGTAAGCAAGATCTAAAGAACAGAAATATTTTTTTATCCTCTTCTATCCTCTTTTATTCCTAGCACATGCACAGAAAGAAAAAAAGTTACTGAGCAGGACAGAAATATATACAGAAATACATCTTCTGTCTCTCAAATGTTGTTCACACCTTCCACTCATTGCTTGAATAAATTATTCCGGTTCCATTACTATAAGTTCTATGATTGATAGTTTCTTATGATTCCACAAAATATGTATAATGTGTTTTACAGAATAAGTTATGTAATTAAAAATAAACTTAATCTTCCTGTAAATCATGTACAATTCGAAGATTTCAAAAATATAATTTGCTAGGATAGTCTCACATTTAAAGGGCTTCTAAAGTTGTCTGTTTTACCGACTAAAAGCAATAACTTTTATATAACAATAATTGTTTTTTCTTTTTTTAGAGATTCGAAAATCCTTTCCAGAATTAAAATACATGTCTGTGAGGTGGAGTTTATGCTAAGAACGAAAAAAGATTGAGATTTTCTGTACCATTTCTTAATCTAATATGGAGTCAGAATTATTAATATCGTACATTTACTTAATATATAAACTTTGCAATCTGTACTTAAAAAATTTGTGATCCATAGACTAGTAATTTACACGAACAAACAATGTATAAGAGTTAAACTTATTGTTAGACACCCAATTAATTTTTTTATATCTATATAATATTATTGATATTATTAATAATTATATTGTATTATAATATTATTATATTATTATATTTTCTAACAATTCAATAATTCTAATTAAATTCGACTGCGATTAAAAATATCACAATTATAAACACTGCAATATGTAACACTGCAATTAAATACCATTAATCTTTGGCTCATTTTTTCACAGTACATTTTTTCTTTTTCTTCTTCGATATTTAATTATACGTTCACTTAGTTTAAATGCAAAAAATCTAACAATGCAGCTGCGAAAAGCAGACCTGTCGAACGAGAAGGCATTTTTGAAATTCGCGCACTTTTTATCGCGATATAGAACACTCACATCACTTCACATCACAAGCATTCGTCGATATCCTTATTCGCTAGCAAGATGTCGACCGTCGAATTAAATCCAAAACCTTTGCGGGTTTCTCCTTTCATCAAGGTAAAAGGAACAGCTTCTCTTGAAATATTCTGTCATCACATATAATGCGTGTTTTTGTGCTTTTTATTTCATCATAGCAAAACACGGTCTCGACTGTCTGAGTTCTTTCCATCTCTTATGATTGGATTTATTTTATTACATAATTTATTTACTATTTGTGAAAGGTATTTAAAATTAATAAATTTATATAAAAAAATAATTGCCAACATTGTCACGGCTTTGATTTTTATTAAAAGATTTCTTTCAACGTCACCTCTTAATTTTCTAACCTTGAAGAAATTTTAAATATTTTATTCATAAAGTAAATGTTCAAAATAATTTAATAATTAATTTTTGATTGTCTGTTATTTAGCGAATTGAATTTTGCTCTCAAGTCTCAGAAATAACACTTATGAAATCAGTTAATGTGTTAATTTCTCATTTTATAAACATTAGAGTATATAAACAATTTTTCTGTTTCTAATTAAATGTATCTGTACTTTTTAGTTCTGCCGCTGGAGTCTGCTCCTTACTGGAATTGCTTATGGTGCATTTCATCAAAGAAGATTTAAGAGAAAAGAGGATGCTCGTAGAGCAGAGGAGCTGAGACTTAAACCTATGCGTGATGCCAAGCTAGCTGAGGAGAAGAAAGCTGCTTTAATAGGTACAACATTTAACTGCATACATAAATATAAAAATGTCCTAAGATTCCTAATAAGAATAATAAGCTGAGCATATCAAATATAAGGAAAAAGTAACAAAAGTATAAATAAACCTTTTAAAATGCATAAATTAGAGCAGCAGAAAGAAATGGAAAATTTTTTAAATCTTTTAAAATTCTGTCATTCTTATTATATTTTATTTATGCTCCAATTTCATTTTTTGCTAGGAATCTTTTATTTCATAATATTAAATCTCATTATCTAAAAAATAGAATTATTAAATCTTTGTTTTTTTCATTAATTTGATTTTTTATGAATCTTTTTTTATCATTTTTTAAATCATGGTCAAAAATAAAATTTTGCTAAAGAACTTTCCACTGGTCATAAAGTGAGATTAAAGGAGCATCAACAATTTTAGAGATTATGTATAAAAATATGTAAATTATATAAATATGTTTAGTTTGAAAATATATTATAAATTTGAACCTTTCTTTTTTTTCAGCGGAACAAAAAATGCTTGAAGAGCTTTTCACTCCATCCAAGGGAAAAGTATAAGATTTTATGAATATATATTAAATATATTCTAGTAAAACACGCTGTTACATATTACGGTTAAAATCTCGAATTACTGCAGAATAAATTATCCCCTTTCGAGTATCTTAATTCTTATTAGCTTAGTTATTGGACATTTATTTTACTTGCTATGTGTATTAATTGAAACTTAATCATAGTAAAGATATCATTTTTATATTATGAACACTTTCGGGATGAAGAAGCAAAAAAAAATCGCCCGAACAGGGACTCGAACCCTGGACCCTCAGATTAAAAGTCTGATGCTCTACCGACTGAGCTATCCGGGCTTATAGCCTACTTTTTTTAAATGTATTAGTTACTATGGATATAAGTGTTTATCTTGATATTAAAAACCTAACAATTTTTTTATTTAAAAATTAATAATAAATTATAAAACTTTTCAAGACAATTTATGATTATAATAATATTTAATATTCAATATTGAATATTTTTTTAGTAATATTGCAAGATATATTAAAATATTAAAATTTATTTGATAAAAAATAAATTTTTGAAAATTGAGAATAAAAAACCATTTGATTATACTTGCAAAGTTTAACGAGGAAAAAAAATTACAAGAGAGACAATTCATGCTTTAAGTGATCTTTCTTGTTTTTGCAACATTTAATACAGTATATGTATATATATAGTCTACACATCCACAACAATAACAGATACGCAATAATAGATACACACAGCATAAGAATTATCCGTTTCTTTAAATAATTAAACGACTTATGTATACAATAATATACAAAAATATAATGTTGGAATATACGTTTAAAAATATCAAAATGATTGGTTTTTATTGATATAAAAATAAAACTTTCCAAGAAGGACTTGCCATCCTTAAACATATCTCCTTCTTTATATAACAATAAACGAGATATATCTATTGTAATAACGAGGTATATTATATTGTCATAAATGCTTCAAGACTTTTGTTCCCATGAATTTTATTCATTTGATATTTTTAAGCTGTGATCAGATCCGTTTTATTATCCTTAGTAATGAGTTGCAGGAGAGAACCGTTAGCAGGCCGATCCTGATTTTGCGACCATTTCCAGAATAAACTATAAACAAAGATATATTTTTTTTGTAATAGAAATCATAAAATATTAATTTGAGAAAATTGTAAACATTTCATCTTACTTGGATACAAAATCGAGTGGAGTCCACGTGCTTATATTAGCTTTGGGCATCCATTTCCTGTTCATTGGCGTATCTAAAGTAACAGGTAGTATGCAAGCTACCAAACTATTGGAAGGAAGACCGCTATCTTTAACCGCCAAAGATCTCGTCAACTGATGAACAGCTGCTTTTGCCATACCATAGCCAATCATATCTAATAATCAAGCAGAATCGACCTTTTAGCGAAATACGAAGAGATCTACAATACATACTTTATATTATCGTTCGACAAAGAAACCTGGTGTTCCTTCTAACGCAGGTTTAGCACCAGTCAAAGAAAGAAATCCTCCTTCCTTCAAATATTCAGCCGCAATACTGGCAGCTATAATGGAACTCCAAACGCTTTGTTTCCACATCAAATCGCTGTTTTTCACGAAATCTTTATGCGCTGCATTACCACCAGCCCATCCCCCAGCCACACAAATAATGCCATCGACTTTTTCGTTTTTCAATATATCTTTAACTTGAGTCAAGATCTCTGTTTGCTATTAAACAAGAAATTAATTAATGTCTATCGCTTATAATAAAAATATTCATAATAAAAATGTAAGCAACAAAAAATTACCTGCTCCTGCCAATTATTGTCAGGTTTTACAATCACATTGGCATCTGCTTGCTCGTTTGGCTGCATGTCAATAGAGCCAACCCACTAAAAATTATAATACACATACACACACACACACATATATGTGTATATATATAATATATATATATATATATATATGTATATATATATATATATATAAGGTAAAAATTATAATAAACATATACATTGTGTCAGAAAAAAAATTTATAATAAATTTATAATTGTAAACAAAGATAATACGTTTTTATTTGATATCAATAAATCGACAATATTATATAAAAATATTTAATAATTTTATATTTAGTTTTTACACAAATAACAATATAAATGTTATATTAGTATAATAAAATAATTAGGATATAATAAATATATTTGCATAAAATTGCTTTCCAGTATAAAACATGATTTATCTAAATTATATACAGTAGAGTAAATTGCATCTAGAAGGCTTTGTGAAAGGACTTGCCTGACTAGTAATAACCTTGGTATACTTAGTTTTTATATATTATCCTTCAGATAACATCTACTGTATATAACATCTGAAGAAAAAAAATTAGAAACAAATATAAATTTTAATTGAATTACAAATTTTGCGAATTATATAATTACATATTGAAATATTTTTATTTATTGTTACATAAACATAATCGCATGAAATAAGTACTTTTGATGCTTAAAAATTAAATAAATAATAAAATTAACAAAGTTCAACGTATATCGTTCAACGTATAATCTAGATCTAGAATCTCCACGAAATATCGCGAATTATTAATCTACCGCAGATTAATGGAACCGAGAAAATTGAAGAGGAAACAATTGACTGCCATTCGAATCGAATCAAATGACATTTTCATTTGGCATTCAATATGCGCTTAAATAAATTCCACGTAAATTACATGCCACAGGAAAACTTTATTGCGACAAATTTTATGGCAAGAAAGATTGAAACAAACGAAAATATCGATGTACGATTTATAGAATAAATCGGGCAAAAGTCACTAATAAATCAAATAATAAAATTCGATTAGACTTGAACGTTATCGTTCTAATTTATTTTTACGTTTTAATTATTTCGTTATTTATATTCTTGTGTATTTATATTCTTCTGTATACACACACACACACACACTATATATATATATATATATATATATATATATATACACACACACACATACATAAATGACTTCTTTTCATATGTTTATAAGTTATTTATAATAGAATGTCGGGAGAAATCTCTAATCAAATTCTATGTGACCGCTAAAATCTACTGATAAGACAGCCGCGCAATTAATCGAATCCGGATTACGTCGGAGGTGAAGATAAAGTTACTCACGAATCCCTTACTCACCCAATTTTGTGATTTAAATTGTGATACGCAGGCTGAGCCGAGGGCACCCTTGCCCCCGTACACAATTACACGTCCGAGTACCGCGGCCATTGTTCGATATGTGATTCGATTTCGTGATACCGATCCGGAGTTCCGTGATTATTGACGGAAAAATACGAAGCCGCGAAACCACTTTCGGAAAGTTTCGTCGTTTCACGAAGGGAGGGATCGCCGGGTCTTATCATGAACTATATATTTATAGATTGTCGTCCGAGTGTTTTATCTCGTCGAAATATCTACCGGTAATGCAAACATTTCTTAAAACGAAAAAAATGGAAAAAGTCGCGCAATGATCATTAATACGCTAATTTTTTGAATTGAAGTGAAAACTAAGTGATTTTTTTAGAAGGATGTGACGGCCGAACTCTGATGGAATTGTCTACCGTTTTTATTTTAAGTAATGAACAAATTATATTTAAACTAAGAATATCGTATTTTTCTATTTATTTTTTTTGTAAGCTTTAAAATCGTAAATTCTACTTATATTCTCAATATTCAAATATATTGATATTCAAATTTGGATAAGCATGTTTAGTTTAATTATATGCATTATACTAATTAGAATCATTTAATTATATATTATGTGAAGAAATAACATAGGTGTCATCGATATATATCGTATAATATAGTATTAGAAATAGTTAAAAATTTAATATTTTTATAATTGAAAGCATCTATATATATTGTAATGAAAGTTACAAATTATAAATAAAAATCATATTATACAATAAATTATATACATAGAATTTTTTTATCTTTTAGATAATTAGGGTCTATTTCTTTCAGTATAGATTAATCTTAATCTCGGTTCAACTAACTCTTTATCGTTTTCTAGTTCCTAAAATTATAGATAAAGATGAAAGATAAATTAAACTAAGATTGAAGTTAATTTATATTGACAAAAACATAAAGGCATAAGTTAATTGCGATGTATTTGATATTTATTTAAAAAGATTGATGCATGGCTGAAAAGGAACCGCCCTTGAAGAATCGCGCGAAATTCATATATCCCTCGAACATGGCGTCGGATTCGTCGCGATTCGCAGCAACGTCACGACGGTCGCGCGGTGAACCAATAGACGGCGCCGGTGGCGCTCGACTTCCACCAGAATCCCCGGTAGGTCAGTCTAGCGTGACGTCACGTTCGTCAGCCTAGTTGGGTTAGGTTTTACGCTGGAAATTCTAACGACAAATTTTTTGTTTGACGATTGATGTTTTCCCCGTGTCGTGTCGATCCGTAACCGAGCGACACCGAGGTGCCCACGTAACGACGGTCGACGGTCGTGTCTCGCAGAGCATACGATCGCGAAGGGTTCGCGTGGTTCGGCGTATATGAGAATTTTAAACGGAAAATGAGTCGACATGAAGGTACGTACGTGCTCCGACCAGCAAGTCAGCCCGCGAGACGGGCGACCGCGGAGAAATTACGCGGGTCCGCCGCTGCGGCGAGCGATTTCTGGGCCGCGTCAGGCACGCAGGAACATTCGCCGAGGGTCCGCGACGACCCGCGACGACGTCCGTGGGACCGTCGAGCCGCGGGGGATATCCTTTTAACACGGGACACGTCCCGCGAGCTCCCGTGGCCGAACGGGCCTAATGTCAGAGGCCAGATGGCAGCACACGGTGAAAATTCACGCCAATTTCTGCGGATTTTCGACGTTTTCCCGTGAAATCCCCGGGGATCCGCAACGATATTCAGTTTCCTTTCGCTTTGTCCTACCACCTGGTCGTTGACCATCACGTACCGTCAACTGTCAGACCATCCTATCACCTCAGCTGATTCCCTTTTCACCACAGTCTCTTGGCTCTCAGCCCGTTCTCCTGATGAGTCTTCCCTTCTTGCAGAACATATTGCAGTCTTTTTCCTATGTTATCGTTGTTTTTCCACACGAAATTGATTGTACAGACGGTCAATAATAATTTTGCATAGCGATCCGTGCTCTCGGACGAACCTTGTCTGCTGTCCTCTCGAGATCATAGTATCGCTGTTTAATGTGTGCCATAAAAATGATATTATGAGCCACATTGCTCTTCAGCCTCTGGCCTTTGAGATTTTAATAAGCGGAATTAAGCTTCATAATCTATTTAGTAGCATGTATAACACAGGAGAATCTGTATGCTTCTTGAGTAGAATTTAAATTTTTTTTCGGAACAGGAGATATGTTATATAATTATCATGTCTGATATAAAGATGATAAATCAAGTTGCCACTTAGACAAGTGCCACTTAGAAATTTTAGTTTATTATGTATCGTGAACTTCTAGTTTAATGTCTTGTAGTTTAATATAATTGTAAGCTCAGTGTAGTATTATATAGATTTTTTGTGTTTAGTTAGATAAATACATGACAAGTTATACCTTTTCATAAAATATTCATCAATTATTATTTTATGTTTATTGTACTCAACATGTAACATATACTATCCTAAATCTTGCTTTCCATTGTTACCAGACAGTGACTCGTATTTACTGCACATTACTATTTATAGTTGTATAGTCATGACTTTGGACATAGTAGCAGTAATTCCTTATTAACAAGTATTCTTTGGGTTTCTGTTTCATATAATGTAATCATAGAATAAACTTTATTGAAAAAAGAATGTTTTAAATACAATATAAGAAATATTATTTTAATTAATTATGACCATTGTTACACATTATTGTATATTATGAGACCTGAGATGTTTAAAATTTGTACAGAAATGTGCACACAATTTTCTTGAAGTCATGATTTATTAATCACTTTTTTAAGTAATATTACAAGTATCATTCTTTCTCCTAAGCTTCTGTCTCTTTCATTTACATATATTCTGCGTCATTCTCTTTTTAAAAATATAATTTAGAATTAATGCATGTATGCAAAAATATAGTTAAAAGCATTTTGAAATTCAAATTAATTTTAATATATTGAATAATATAAAGTTAATTTAATTTCTCTGCTTTATAATTTATTCTTATTTATTTAAAAATACTTGATATTAGTTATGTTGATATATTATTCCTTAGTTTTTCAAAATTAAAAAAAAAAGCAATAAAATTGTTATATAAGACTGGAAGGACTTTGATAATATATGTTAAATCATAATTTACATTTATATACATGCTTATTATAATTTTATTTATAATGATAAATTTGATGTATTATTGAAGCTTATTGTATTAAGTGTAATGTTAAAAAATATAATGTTAAGATATAACAAAACATAAGATAATATTAATAAAAATAATTGAAAAGTAAAAATTTAATTTTTTACTTTTTAGCTTAGTTATTGTAACACATTTATTAATATAGAACAACAAATGTATAAATAAATTGTAATAACGAAATAGTTAAAATATTTAAAAATCTGAAAATTATATATTTATATGATATGTAATAGTTATTAAAATATTTTCGCATTCACACATATTGAACATTTTCGTTTTAGGGGTTAGCTGTGATTCCTGCTTGAAAGGAAATTTTCGGGGTCGTAGATACAAGTGCCTCGTATGCTACGATTATGATCTATGTGCCAGCTGCTACGAGGGAGGCGCCAATACTACTCGCCACCTCACAGATCATCCTATGCAATGCATACTTACTAGATCTGACTTTGGTAAGGTTCGAATTTAACTCTTTAATGACAAGATACATCTTTAGAATGTATCCAACAGGGTGGGGTCAGATCCGGATTTGGTCTTTTTCATCTAATCAATATACAAAATGCGAAAAAAAAAGTAAATAACTACACATAAAACTTCTTTTATTTATAAATGAGAAAAAATACAATAAAATTAATTGATTTTAAATAATTGCAGTAACAAATTTCTTTACTAACGAAACTTTACTGTGGATCATCTCCGATCCCGACCTTATTATTAAAGGGTTATAATGTAATATTTATTTTATCTATAATTAATTATAAAAATTGAATATGCGGAATATTTTAAAAGCATTTTATATATTTTAACTTTTTACGTTTATTTTATACAAAATATATGAAGAAAAAAGATATTTATTTCAATACCATGCTCTTATACTTAATTAATAAATATGAGAAAAGTAATGAATTTTTTTGCAAATCAGGCTTCTAGTTCATTAGATCATTTTTTTTGTATTATAAAATATCATAATTGCATAATAACAAGTAATTTATAGATGGAAGATTTTATATTAATTAACATATGTTAATCCATTTATAAATAATTAACTTTTTGAATAGAATTATACTATGGTGGTGAAGGAGTGAGTGTAGAACAGCCTCAATCTTTGACTTGTCCCTATTGTACAAAAATGGGTTTTACTGAGGCTACATTACAAGAGCATGTTGCTGCTGATCATCCGGATACTTCATTCGAAGTTGTACGTATATAAAGATTATAACACGTAGTAATTATATATTATAGGTGCATAACTTGTATATTTTTCACAGGTTTGTCCAGTATGCGCAGCAGTGCCAGGTGGAGAGCCTAATCATGTAACTGATGATTTCGCTGGCCATCTGACACTAGAACATCGCAGTGGGCCAAGGGACCTGATTTCTTTCCTGGATGAACCAACTGCAAGTAGACACGGCGTTAGGCGGATACCGCATCCATCCAGAGCTGTTGGAGCATCTCGTGGACGTAGGTATGTATAAGATTGCAGATTTATTAAATAATTTATTAATACTTATCAATATTTAATGTTACATGTAAGTATGTATAACAAATATTTTTTAGGAATATTAATACTAATTGAAATAAAATTTTCACAATTATTATTCACAATTATATTTTATGAATCATTTATAAATTTTATCTTTGTACAAAATTTTTTAAAATATTAGACATTTTTTAGAAAGGATCTTTTCCACTTTTAAATGTAAATTATCTCACAAATATTGATAATGATAAATTGTAAATGTTTTTTTTTCTTAATGAAAATTTAACAATTATGATTAACTACAATTTTTTTAATATTAGCATCATACCATTATTACTTCATCTTAGATAATGTTCATTAGAGTCTCATTGGACCTGCAGGTCCAATATGCATTTCAGTTCATCTGGAGGGTTGAGCCCAAGTAATCGCGAAGGTATAGATCCAATTGCGGAGTTGCTATCTCAATTGTCGGGAGTACGTAGAAGTGGAGGCGGAAGTGGACAAAGCACATCAGCCCCTACACAGTTACAGCAATTACAAATGCAACTACAATTAGAACGACAACAAGTTCGGGTAAAATTGATTTTTTTATCTTGAAAAAGTATTTTTTTTATTATATGTAATATTTATTAATTTATTGTGCATGTCAGTGTCATGTATGTCATTACGTCTTAAGGATTCAATTCGAGTCGTGTTTAATTACTCATATTAGAATGCGTTGTGATTCAGAGCTGTGTCTGTATGTTAATATTGTTATGTACAAAAATTTACTAAAAAAATTTATAGATTATGAAACATTGAAATAATTGATTGAAAATAATTTTGAACCAATTATAATATTCAAAAATATATATATAATATATAATACATTATGTAGGTTGAAATTAATTTCAAATCGATATATGACATATACACCGATATATTACATATTCGTTTTGTACTAACATTTTAATTCTTTTATTATCTCCGTTCTCTTTTTTTTTCGTTTAATAATGAATATATAGAAGATTGTTTATTGAGATAATAAGATGTAACTGAAAACGCAAGAGTATTTATAAACACTCTTGTAATAGAACATTAGAAGGACAAATAAAATAAAGAAAATAATATAGTGTTTAGAAAGAAGAAGAGGTCAGTCTTCAAAAATTTCGTTTAGTCTCATTTAGTTCCGTTTAGTCTTAGTGATATTTAATCTCAGTGACTTATAATAATTTAAATTGTGACTTTAATCTAAGCAAGATTAAGAAACTGAATAATGATGACATATCATACTAAAGTAAGCTACTAATTTCTTTAATTTTAATTTATTCTGTCGAAGCAGCAGATATACTATTGATATTGTATGTATGTGATAAATTTTTGTATATTAGTATTTAATATCATTTAGATATTACTCTACATATATTAATAATTATTTATATTTATATATTTTAATTGATAATTTATGAATTATTTAAATGATTATTATTGCAATAGTCATGTAATTTTTACAAAAAAATATTAGGCAAACTAGTTTTTGCAACTTACTTTTTGTTTCCTCCCAGTTTTAGTTATGTGTAAGTAATAAATTTTGACTCTAGTTATTTCTTGTAGTAAAAGATTTAATCGTTTTTTACATATTAATTATTGAAATGAAATGTTTTTAGGCTGCTAGACAACAACTCGAAAGATTACCCAGAAGGCAAACGCAAGTGATCGGTTCTGTAAGTGGAGGCAGCGGGGGTGGCAGTGGTGGCGGTCATACTACTACTATGGGGACAACGAATAGTACAAGTAGTAATAATAACGCGACCAATACGGCTAACCCGTCCGGTGTGTCTTCTAATTCACAGAATAATATGTCCCTGTTACCCAGGTATGCGTTTTTCTTTTGGATTTTTAGTTAACTATATATATCTCAAAGTGACTAGTATTATAATATTATATTTATACAATTTATTGATATTAGTCTCAATAAATAAGTTACTTTTAAATGTATTTTGCTAACGTGAATATTAATTCACATATATTCAAAATTGAAAAATATAATGTACACACAAGGGACAAAGGAACGATAGTAATCAATCAAACTTATATTCTAATGAAAAAAATTTTTAGTCTTTTCTTATCAACTTATATACTAAATGTACACAGGATTGCGTGTTGTAAATAGTTGCCAAAAACTGTATTATAAATATCTACATATCTATTTTAGGCAACACTGATATTTATTTTATCATATATCAACATATGATATTTATAATTGAAAAATATATAACTATGAGTAACAAAGAAAATAAACGTGTATATATATATATATATATATATATATATATATAATGTAATTGAATAAATTGAGACAATGAAAAAATATTGTAACGCTTGATTATTTAATTTGATAAACGCTTGATTATTTATCTTACATTTGTTCAGATGCATCATAACTACGCCGTCTGATTCGCAACTGCAAAGTATTGAACGCGAGAGTGCAAATAGGAGCCTTTTTGCACGTGAACTTATTGTTGGAACGCTTTCTCAAACATTGTCAGAATTGATGCAACAGCAGTGTGCTGTACAAACACCGGCGTCAAATGCGACTACTGCCACGACCAGTCCTGAAACACCAAACGCCAATACTTTCATTGTTTCTGCGAAGAAATTGGGAATAACTCAGGAAGCGAAGAGGGAACAAGCGACAAGTAAACACGTGACATCACAGGCATCTATGCAACAAAAAGAATCACATATTCTGCAGGCTGCTGCTGCTGCTACTACTACTGGCAGCGTAGGTTCAGGTCTGCAAAATCAGGGGTTATCCTCGAATCCTAATAGCATTGCAACACAAAATCCACCTATAGTTCAAACATTGATGCATAGCGTATTACCTCAGCCATTGGTAAGCATCTATTTCTTTGGCAAATAAAATATATATTAAAATATTTATAAAATTGAACATAATTAGAGATAGAAAGGAAATAAAAATAATATATAATATATTTGAAACTCAATGTAGCAACATCTAACCCCTATCTTTTCTGTACAAATTACACTAATTTTTCTATTACTATGCATAATTATTATGTCGATGTTATATTTTGTCAAGCTATATCTGATCCTGAACATAATATTGTCGAATGACAACTGATATACAGTAGATAATCGAAATAGTCCTCATAGAATTTCGTGTGACTTAGGTACTGCAGCAACCACTGCCGCCACCAATTAGGAATACTGGTACCGGAACTATCAGGGAACCGATAGCAGCTCCGGCGCCTGCTTACCTCAGAGGTGGAGTTGGCTCGGTCGGAGTGACAGGCTCTTCGCGTAGGAAGCCGGTTAGGGCAGTAGATGGCAGAAACCAATCTACGGAACCACCACCCCCACACTAACCCCTCCTTAGCCCGTGTGTACCCATCCACCACCCTGATTCCTCACACAGGATCCCCTAGCACTAGTCCTAGCACTGTTTAGAACACCTCATCATTATTGTTATTATTATAATATATATTAATAATTATTCGAAACGCCCTCTCCTTTCCTTTTCCTTCTTCTCCTCCTCTTCCTCATCCTTTTGTGCCCTAATGCTATTACAACTTTCCCGAACTTTAATCTCGCCATTTTTGCTGTTACGTGACATGGAACAAGGGCAAGGGCTGATTCGCTAGCCACTGTGGCATATTTGCGAATAATAATGTACATAACTCACACTTCTTGCAGTCATGCTCGAAATATATAGAGTTCGTTCGCGTGTATTACTTTTCTTCGAATGAGTCTTGCCACGTTCTTCCACGCTGACGTGCTACCACGATACGGCGTTACCTTTTATCCACTGGAGAGCAGGTGTTTGCGAACCAACAAAAGAATATTGTAAAAAAAATCATACAAAAACAAAGCGACATTAGCGTTTATTGTTCGGTTAATGAGGTATCGAAGAATAATCAAAGAGCACGAACATGTAAGGATCAATCAGATACTTCGATCAGCTGATGTAAAAATTCAGCAATGTATTGATAGTATGTATCTATCCAATGATGGTAAATGAATGTATACGCGAATATAGCTTTTTCATATTGCATTTTGTGTATTATACATGTTTACCATTCACTATGTAAAATTCAAGAGATTTTATTGGTCTACATACCCAGTGCAAATCGAACAATCGATTGCTAATGTGCTGTGTATTTGAAAAAACGAAATTCTCCCCTCTTTCAAATAAAAATATACGAATGCAAAATCATGCCTGGGCTGGTCCGTAATACTAACGCTTTTAAATTGCTTTAACTTACCGATAACTTGTCCGGCGCACTAATAGTAAAAAAAAATGATACAAAACGATTGTAGGAACGAATGTCACGAATGATATGCAGAATAACATTACTGCATATTTTTCAGATGACTACTTAGATTATAATTCTCATTATAATAGACTCCTGTATGCTTTACAATCAATAAATCATTGATATAATGTACAAAAAAGGCAATTATATAGTCTATAATTATCATTCGTAGTTTACACGAACTTCCTTTATTTTTTAATTCTTTTAAGTAAAGTTCACTCGCCGTGGCATTTTGCGTCAAACAGGAGAAGAGTTTATGAAAAGAAGGGACAAATATGTTGAGAAAAAATTTTATATATTAGACACTTCTAAATATTTAGACGTTTAAATTACATTTAATTTAGTTGGAAAAAATCGGTACTAGCGGACCATCCCTTGGCACATGGCATAAAAAGATGAGTCGTAAAGTGGAGAGATTACATTTAGATATAAATTATTATTTTATATATCAGCCATTAAACTAACACTTCAAAATATGTCGTATTTGCGGCTTATTAAATGTATTAATGTTTCACTAATGTTTAAATACTGTTCGTCAGATTATTATAATTTCCGGATTATTGTATATTATGTAATTTTACATTAGATGTACGATTTGACGCACAGAGTTGAGGAATAAAGTTTCTTTTAAAATTAATCACTCCATTTTAAGACACTAAACAATTGCAGTAACCATAAAAAAATTATGATTTCTATCAAAATCATATTTGGATCTATATGTTTTTATATTTAAAAAGCATAAAGTAAACAATTTTTTCATATCGTGATTCGAAAAATCTTTAAATTGTCATGAATGGAAACTCTTTAAATTTTTCTTTTTATTTTTGTCGAAAACTAGACGAGTCTTTCAAATATACCTAATATTTTTAATAGAAATATATTTGTTTATTTCTTTTATAAAATACATGCAAAAGTAACATCGGTAACATTGTATCGCAGTATGCGTGTGATGTATACGGATGCATCTGTAAGGTTTCTATCGAGAATAGAAAATTTCGAAGATGCGCGTATACACAAGCGTTATTTACTCTTCTTGTTTCTTTTCTTCGGGTACTTATATTTTCTTCTCTTTTTTGCATGTTTACTGTCGTATACATATAATCTCTCTTGCCCTATCATCAATGTTCTCTTAATCTAAATTGTCTTTCACCCAAGATCCCGTGTGAGCGTGTATCTGCAAGATGTGGTGGCTCTGGAAACCATGCAGCGTTTTACAAAGTGCGCAAAAATGATATATATACGCCGTGTAGATCTATAAAAAAAAGAAGAGTTAAAATATTTAGTGTGAATCTATGCTAGAGTATGAACTTCAGAGCTTGACCATCTTATTTTTTGTGCGCAAGGTCGAGGAACTTCAAAACTAAATTTTAAAAAACCAATGGTAAAAGAAGCTGTTTAACTTTTAATTATCATTTCTTCGATATACTGTCTAAATATTTTTATTGAATATTTTGCTTATTTCTTTACCCGTACTCAACATATGTATATTTTGAACGAGTATTTTGTTTCTGAATAATTATTCACAATCTTGTATTTCATATTGTGTAATTATATAATTGCAATTTAACGAAGAAATAGATCCAAAACGTAAATAAAATGGGGTGCACTTAATTGCCTTAATGCAGGATGCCTGAAAAATTAATGGGAGGAATCGACAACCCTCTTTGAGAAGCGGATGTGCCTGCATTGCGAAAGTCTTTGCGCATGATACTCCGTGATGAAGTTAATACTGTACTGAGCTAATCTTAATAAACGTATGCGTATATAAAATTATCAAATTGCAAATATTTCAACGAATTTATTGCACCGTTATACATTATGAATACAAGTCAACGATGATTCATCGCCTGATCCGGGATCAGTTTATGTTTAGGAACGAAGCAAGACTCTAATACAAGTCTAGTTTCTCAATTTTTGTCAATTTTCGTCAGTTTTTATAAATGATCAGAACTACATTTTTTTTCTCTAACTTTAAATTCAAACGCACGATTTTCTTTATTCGTTCATAAAAAAATACGTTTCCCTTGTTTCCACGTCACTGTCTCTTATCAATTAAATTTCCCCTTTTTTCTTCATTCCAGATATATCTACTTATTATTTGCGGCGCAGTATGCCATATTATCAAAATTGAGAGATCATTTTAAAAAAATTCTACAAAATATACCTTTTCAGATTAAAAATTATTAGCCCTTTTCAATTTATTGTCGATCGAGACTTGATTTGTAAAATTAAAATTTTATTCATAGAAGTGAATTATGAAGCGAATTATAAGGGAAAGAATTCCGGATTTGACACAAGTAAATATTTCGCGATTATAACAAATGCATCCCAAGCAGAACGAAATCACAATAACAATAACAATAATAATCTTTGTAATCTGTTAAAGAAAGAGAGCGACATTATTCTCTTCTTCATTTCGTTTTCTATTGGATAAAATCGTCTCCTTTTTCCTACGCATATATAATGTTTCGATTTGTATTTACTACATTTTACGTACCTTTGTCTATATATATATATATATATATATATAGATAGATAGAAATGCATGGAGAGCGAGAAAGAGAGACAGACAAATTTGCACGTGTTTATATACGTGCTACGTATCGTTTCCTGAATACGTCACGTAATTAATTATGTGCATGTCCTGAAGCAAATCTAAAGTAATAACGCAGCTATAGGTAATAAAAATGATATATGCTGGAACTAAAGAGAAGAAAAAAGAAGCAATGGAAGATTGAGCTTAAAAAGCGAACACTCGAAAGAAAAAATTATCTAAATCTTGATAATTTACTTTAATTATATTATGCTTTTATTATCATACGTTTCTTACGTTATCCGATAATTAATAATTTTAAGGTGTGTCTAAATTCGCGGCTCGATGTAGCGTCTGATTGTAATATATTAGATTATCGATCGTTTTAAAGGAAGGAATGTCGTAGCACATGCATATCGAGTGGAGATCAAATGAAACCACTCTCGTTCGTAACAATTATTATTATGTACTACAGAGACATAAGAACGTATATTCTTGTGTAGGTACATGACCTCTTAAAATCAACTCATAAAAATTTATTTGACGTTATCTATATTACACGCGTTTCTGTTAGTAGAAATTCTTTAAATGGAAGAAGATGCAGTTATCTTTCCTATATTATTCATTTTGTTTCATTTTTTTTTAAATTTAGATAATTTTCTTGTTTATTCGATTAATGATGAAACTTTACGGATTAGCGAATATTACGCCATGCCTGTGTACGAAATATTGAGAGCAGAAATAATGTATGTACATAAAATATATAAACGAGTAATTTTTCGCGCGAACGATCGTGTGCCAAAATAATGGCGATGCGATCGATATTCGAAGAAGAAATCGTAGATCCATCGATCATCGTGGACTGTGACGCGCCAATCGAATTTGTTACGATACGATAACTGGTATCGCACTTTTATAAACGGAAGAACAGGGAACGAAGAGAAGTTGATCAGTTTATCGAGTCTTTTTAGCTGTATATTTTATCCCACTTTTAAAATGATCTCGTTCAGCTTCAAGGAGATGTAACAAGAAGTGTAATTGTAAGAGATAGGTTTATCCATTTTCAGTCGGACAGGCTCGTAATCAAGAGATGAACTATGGACATGAACTATGTATATGGAATTCTGAAGTTCTTAAAATCTTTGTCGAATTTTCACTCTCGTAGATTTTTCTTAATCTTCACAGACTTTGGAGAAAGTCCTTTCATTGGCCGGTATTTATAGTCGATTCTTATATTTGAAACAGTCTTAAATATAGTCTTAAGATGTCATATAGTCATAAGCCAATCGCAGGCATATTCATAGTCGGTATATTCACAGTCGATTCTTACATTTAAGACTGTTTTAAGTACAGTCTTAAAATTATAAGTCAATCGGAGCTATATTAGTGTATTTTAAGATATTACTTAAGACAGTTTTAAAAATAAGAACGGACTATGAATACTAGCCACAAAATGTATTAGCATTTTAAGACACTATATTTAAGACTTAAAAAAATACGGACTATGAATACTGGCTATTGTCTCGAATCATCTATTTCGCTGTAATTATACATAAATGTATCATAAATCGAAATTCTAATATAAGTACGTATAATAAAATATCTGACAAAAGGCGTTGATTTTTTTTTAATAATTCATGATTCGTTCACGATTCCAATATTGATTATTATCCATTGCAGTTAAGAGTTTCAATTTTCGATTAATTCAAATAGTGTTTCACGAGCCATAGTCAAAATGAAAAAAAGAAAGAGAACAAGCAAGATGCATAATAAAAGAAGAAACTTAGAAACTACACGAAAGTCGCATATTAAATGTATAAATAGTAGAAAGGAAAGAGAAATGTTGAAAATATCCTAAGCAGTTACTCTAATCTCCTAAGAAAAATTCTAAATAAAAATTCGACATTGCTAAAGAAACGACGGCGATGACATACAAAGGAATAAAAAGAAAAAAATCGGATAAAACCCCGAAGAACTCTTTTTTTCCAATAAAAAACAAGAGAAAACATCATGACAAGCGTTTTAGTTACATCGCATAAGATACTTATGTGATAAATGATGTTGATTAGAAGTTGTACGTTTTGTCGCATTCATGCAGAACACATCTTTTATTCGGCGCCTGCTACTCGACTTTTAAATTAATGACGCCAAATGGAATTTAATTTTGTAAACAAGAAGAAAGTGGATTGATCATGCTATTTCTCGGACAAAAAGTCCGAATTTAAATAATTAGCAGACGACGGAAGTAATTCGCCGTAATCAACACCGAATTCTAGGTTGTCGATTAAAGTGGCGAATTTATTCTTTGCCGTGGAAAGAATCTGTGAGGCTTCTTCTTTGCAACTTCGAAGAAGAGAAGAATCTTAAGAAGTATTGAGCGACATTTCGCTATGGACTCATACCTATTGAGAGTAATATATCGTCGTAATCGTGCAAATTATAGCAGTTGAAGGAATTCTTCGAGAATTTTTATCTAACTTATCGACGACGACGCTAATAAGCGAATGTATTGTATACAAACGAATGCGCAAAAATGAGAAAGTGTGAATGAGTGAGAGAAAGGAAAAAGACAGGATGCTTTGATAAATCGGAGAACCATTGCGCATTGGCGCAATGTTCTCTGAAATAGCGGGAAGCTATATTATTGACGAGCATTACTGCTAATTGTAAGTACTAATAGAGAAAAAATCCAAGTGAAGTCTTATATATAATGATTATCGAATTGTAAATTATGTTTGATTGTGTATCTTGTGTTATATGAATATAACGACACTGAATATAATTAAAATTTAATCAAAGACTGGTATCTCTTGACTTACCTTCCCTCCCGATAAAAATTTTTCGAACATGAATAATGTATAATTATGTATGAATATATGTAACATGCACAAATATATTGATAAACATGTATAATTATATTATTATATATGAAATATGTTCATATATGTTCATACATTCTTCTTTCTTTTGTAAAATTATTTTTTTAGTATAATAGAAACAATAATAGTAAAGCATTAAAAATAATTAAAGTAATAATAATAATTTTCGTATTGTTTGTTTTAGAAAAAAATAAGTTTAGAAAAATGTAAAAAAAATTGCTCATACATAATTATTTTATATATAATTATACATAAGTAATTTTTTTACATTTCTTTAAACTTGATTTTTTTCTAAAACAATTAATATAGTGCGAAAATTTTCTTTTTAATTATTTTTAATGTTTTTTACATTACTATTATTATTTCTATTACACCAAAAAGTAATTTTACAAAAAAAAAGGAGGATATATGAATATATATGGATATATTTCATATATAATTATATGTTTATGAATATTTATGCGAGTTATATGTATGTTTGTACATACTTATACATATTCATGTATAAAAAATTTTTTACTGGGCGACACTTCAAATTTCTGCTTCACTATTATTCCGTTGATCATTAATTATTTTAAGCTCGTTTCATGAGATTTAAAATTTGCATGAAAAGATAATAAAATATGCGTCAAACTTTGGTGCTTTTAAATATATTAAATCATTACTGCATATCTTTTGGATGCACTTATTGCATATACATAATCGTTGGATAATTGCATAACGTATGCATATTTCACAAATAATTGTTAAGTAAGTTGTTATGGCCATCGACAAGATACTATTTAAAAACAAATATGGGAACTCGCATCCCTGTTAAAATTAGTGATATAGTAAGAAACCAGTAATATCCAGAGAAAAAATGTTTCATATATAAATTATTAGGTGTTGGAATTAATTCGTAGCGTTTTTTAATGAAAGAATGTTATTTATTTCACATGAGCATTAAAAAATACATTAATGAAAGTACTTCCCATCACTTGTAAAACGCTACGAATTAATTCCAACACCTAATATATAAAAAATTAATATATTTTATATACAAATATATATAATTAGATATAAAATATGTCCATTTATATAATATTTTTCCCTAGGAAAAAATACTAAATTTATACTATTTTAATTTCACAGATATAGTAAAACTTAATACTTGCAGTTTTATTAAAAATTGTGATTTTAATATTATCGTCCGAGTTTGATTGTTAATATGAACAAAAAATTTAATTTTGCGGCAATATGTAAAGAATTATAACATTACAAGTGTATATACTAGTTTATTTTATGGAGCATTTATATTAATAATAGAAAATGTATATCAATAGTCGATAATGTCAGTGTTCTTCAATTACCTCGACTCCTCGAAGTTCTTTTTGAAGAAGAAAATTTGCCCAGAGTTGAATTGATGGACTTGGTGGTGGAACCGATGGAACGCAGCCGAAATGATTTTGAATGCAACTGTTTCCGCAATTCAGTGAATCAATTCGTTACACTGCAATAAAGAACAGTCAACGATTATTCTTTACTGCAGTTATCTTATTACACTATAGTACCCTCATACACGCCACGGTGCATTCAGATAAAAAATGATTTGAGATGATATTAGATAACTTTAGATATATATGGCGCACATGACACGAGATTTATTTTATGATAAAAATGATACTTAATGATCGCGCTCCTCGTGAGCAGAGAGGACATTTGGAACGCACTAATGACACGTGACACAAGTCAATATAAATATAATTTTATCTGATTTAATTTTTCTTGATATTTCAATAAGTAACAAAGGTAAAGACAATAATGAGTAACAAAGATTTGGTAACATAAATCGATATTTGCGTTACCAAATTGTCAATTTGTGTCATCAAATAGAAAATTCAATGTCGCAGACGTTGTACATACATTTCTTGAACTAGTGCACCGCGCAACGTACAAGTACAGGAACAGAAAATACTTGATCAGCTTGACCTTATGATTCGTTCGCTTGTTCGAATTGTCAGGTCACTGCACAGTTCTTCAGGAAAACTGAGAATGGATCCGCTCGAGAACGCTAAGAAAAGTGCGGCTTGCAAAGCTGTTAACGAATACATCCATGTAAGTTGATTAACTTTAGTAACTGTACGATCGATCGTACAGCTTTTCTCTTGAAGGTTATAATACATTCCGGCATATTGTCTTCCAGAATAATAGTGCCATCGGGATTGGCAGCGGATCCACTATAATTTATGCTGTTCAGAGACTTGGTACAGTTATATTTAATACTTTACATTTTATAATTAAAAATAATTTCATTGTTTCAATGAAATTATTTTCAATATGATCATTATTATATTATTATATAATTATTTTCAATGAAATAAAGTTTCATACTTCAAGTAATACAATTAATCAGTTATTTTAACACTGACTTAATATTTTCATTTTTTTTTAAATAAGATTACAAGCCATTTCTATTACACTGTTCTTATTGGAGTTTTTTTATAAATGTCTATTAAAAGAATATGTATATAGAAAAAAACTTGAGACACTTTTTGTAATACATAAATTCAATTGTATAGGACAATGCAACATTGCTGATGAGAAATTGTTTCCTTTATCTTTAATATTTTAAATGTTTTAAAAGATGTTTTATACAGTATATTTTATGTATTATTTTTTAAATTATTTTTAATAAGACGTATATATAGTCAAATTTTAAGATTTACTTTTCTTGCTATTTACAAGAATGCTATCTCTTATAAATATTTTTTTTTAGCTGAACGTGTTGTAGAAGAAGAACTCAATGTAATTTGTGTACCTACATCGTTTCAATCTCGTCAACTTATATTAGATAATCATCTTACCTTAGGCGACCTAGAAACTCATCCACATGTAATTTTTAAATATTCTTTCTCTATGTTATATATTTCTTGTTATATATTTTTATTAACTACTTAATATGGGTATAGCTGTATTCTGCAATTGATGGAGCAGATGAAGTTGATAAAGATCTGAATCTCATTAAAGGTGGTGGAGGATGTTTGTTACAAGAAAAAGTTGTTGCTTCCTGTACCAATCGATTTGTTGTCGTAGCAGACTATACGTAAGTATTATTGCATTTAATAATATTGATCTTGTTATAATATATTAATTTAATATGTTATTATATATTAACAACAAAACTTATGATACATAGATTACACAATTTATTCTTACGTTTTCTTTTTATATTTCAGAAAAAATTCAGTAAAGCTTGGCGAGAAGTATAAAAAGGGAATTCCTATTGAAGTAATTCCTATGGCGTATGTGCCAGTTAAACGTAAAATTGAAGATATTTATGGAGGAACTACGGAAATTAGAATGGCCATCGCTAAAGCTGTAAATATATTTTTATTATTTAAATTCTCTAGATTAGTATCACAAATCAAAAGTAATATAAATAACATACAGATAATTTATGTTACTTGTGCAGGGTCCGGTAGTAACAGATAATGGTAATTTTATTCTGGATTGGCATTTTCCTGATGTTGATCCAAATTCTTGGAAAAGGATTAACATGGAACTATCCTCTATACCTGGAGTTGTAGAAACTGGTCTATTTATAGATATGGCTGAGACAGTTTTTTTTGGTATGCCAGATGGCACTGTACAGGAACGAAGCATATACGATTGAATGAAACTTATTTAATTAAAATGTTGAATGCATGTTAATACGCGAATTTTATTACATTTTATTTTCATTGAAAAATTTCAATAATGTTTTGATAACGCTGTTAAATCATGATTCTTGATAACCTTTTATTGCTATCTTGCCTTTTTTTTTATCCTATATGCGTCATTCCAATTGCTTATCATTGTTTTTTTATATACTTTATACATTTTTGTTTATATTTCTATTATGTGCAATTTGTACAAATCAGATCTTGTGTTTCCTTTATTGCCATTATTTAAACTTGTCATTATGTTCAATTAAAGTGTATATTTCATATTTTAGAAACAAATTACTTCTAAACATATATTTTGTAAATAAATAGTAAGAAAATGTTTACATGTAATGTATACAATACATAACGTTTATCTTGAAATATGCACAAAGTTATACAGATATAAGTTTGAAATATATATATTTTTATATAATATTTGTATTTAATTTTTCACACATATATTTATTTTATATATATATTATTTTTTAAATACTAATATTGAAAAAAGAATACACAAAAGTACATCAACTATGTTTAATTTAAATTTATACAATAAACAAAATTATAAATTTAGAAAAAAATTTTAATGTAATTGTATTTGTTTAATTATCGTTAATACTTATATTAATTTGTATGATTAAAAGATTTCATTTCGTATTGCAAAAAAAATTCGCCCGAACAGGGACTCGAACCCTGGACCCTCAGATTAAAAGTCTGATGCTCTACCGACTGAGCTATCCGGGCGGTTGAGAAATGTATGGATAAATATTGTACTGAACACACCCAATTGAAAATTTGTGTGTGTATTATGGAAAATTTGATTAATTCGGGCATTATGCATAAAACGATCAATTGCATCGAATTTTCTATAACATGTATGATATACATATATTGTACATTTTGGAATGTAATAATTAATATTGGATAAATATACATATAATGTGACATTTATTAATAAAACACATTAAAAAATTTAATAATTTATAATAAATATACATATATAATGGATAATATGAGTTTTGTTCGTGTCTTAAAATTGAAAAAAATTGATAATTCTATAAAAGATTATTATTTATTTTTAAAATAAATAATTAATATTACTAAAATTCTAGAATTTTCATTCATATTATCATTTTTTTTAGTATGACAGCTAAGAAAGGAGTATCTTAAATTTTTAAATATTACATGTTAATGTACATATTGAAGTATTATGTTATTTTTATTTAAAGAAAACTTAAATGAAGATTTAATTTAAGCAACTATGTTTATTATCGGCACTTTTGAAAATCAAGTATGAAATGTTTTATAAATTCTGAACTACTATAAACGTATCTATAATATTTTCTTTTATATGGGAAAGACGGGTATACATGTACTTTGCTTTTCACATGTATTAGACAGCTATGTAAAAGAGACAACTATATGTATAGTTATTTTGCATAAGACGCATCTCTTATTCATAAGTGAACTATCCAGTAGCTATAAGCACTGATTTACTATCTTACGACGTTAATTTAATAGCATTTATATCTGTCGTAAAATTAAAAAGTGTCTTCATTTAAATAAACTGGTGATTTTATCACATCGTTTATTATTCGACGTTTAATCACAATAATTACTCATCTTTCGATGACAGAAGAGTTTTTTCATAATCTAGAATTAAGAAATATTTATTAATATATCTTTTTATTATCTTAATTATTTGGTTACATTTATGAAAATTTGGAAGAGGCAACTATCAAGACAGTTGTTTTATATAATAGCAAAAAGAGGCTTTTTTTAAATATATCTACAATCAATATATTACGTAGAGACATAGTAAATTTTACTTGGAGGCCGCAAACAAATGCGAAAAATTCTATTGTTTACTTTTTTTACTTTTTACGTATTAATTGTGAATAAATTTTAATAATATCTCTTTTAAACATATTTATTATTGCTCGATTTGGACTAATTTTCTTTTTATCTTGCTTTGTGCAAATTTACAAACGACGTAATCACATAATATAATTATTTATAATATATATGTATACAATATAAGACATTATAATTACTAATTAATGTTTTAGCTATTAAAATCGTAATTGCCAACATTTTTTAATCCAATAAGTGGCAAAACACTTCTAAAAAATTGCCTTATTAGAAATTATTAGAATCAGAAAATAAATTTTTTTATTATTTCATCAGCTCCTATAAAAAATTTCAGCGCCTTTGTTTGAAATGGTAGATTTTTTATGTTACTAAAATATATAAATAATTGTATTTTTTTCAAATGCATTAATATTTTTGATAATTTTATCGAAAATTTTGTCGGCGGTGAATGTGTTAAACAAAAGGAAAAAAGAGAAGAAAAATGTAACCAACCACTAGCCAACCAGGTTGAACGACTTAATCGTAACGCAGCGGGTTCTGATGTGAGAATGGTGTAAGTACTTAACTCCGACTGTGTTTCTTTCTATAATTTTTACACTCTTATCGGTTCAACCCGCTATATTTCGTTTTCTGGCATCGATTTAATCGACATTAATCCTTAGTTATATAATTTCGATACCTTTCGATTTCTCTTTGCATAGTTCAGGCTCTCGTTTGTTGTGTGTAAGTACACGATAAATAATGTCCACGTGGAGTACTAGAAATAGATATTTACGTTATCTCATATCTTTCACACATACAGTTAAAAAAACGAAGCATTTGTTTTTATTGTTTGTTATACTATTGCGTATCAAACGTGTCTTTTATCTTTGCACTTACGACTGTTCGCAAAATGTTTTGTTTGCACAATTTCTTATGGTAATTGTTCAAATTTATCTGAATAAAACACATCTATTATAAGATTAAAATTAATGCTATAATTGTATCTAAATTTATGCTTAGAAAACTCAATATATAATCTGCAATTACAATATATTGTCAGAATAGGCACGATATTGATTTGATTAAAATTTTATACTTCCATTAATACAAATTTTGTGCAAAGCATAGAAATTAAATGACGATCGAGTGTTGAAACTAAATCAATCATAGAAAATAATTTCAGGAAGAATAATTTCTCGACAATATAAAATTTTGTGTGGAGCAATGCGATTTTGAAATAATGATCGAAATTAGAGAATATTTTTTGAAATAGATATTTCCTTCCCACGTTCCCTGATCTCGACGATCTATACATGTAAATTTTTATTTCGTGTGTATATGATGCTTCCGAAGTGTAATAAAAATTTTTACGGACTATACTACAATTTTTACGTAAAATCATATCAATTAAATCATACTATTGCAACAGATTTGAAAATATCGCATATTGAATTGATTTCAAATCTATAACCAGTTAGCACAATATTGTAACGAAGTGCGAGAACGAGAATTCTCTCGCGAACGGTATGCAATAAACTAGGGATGCATTGTTACGTCAATATGCCATTCAGACCTTACCGTTAAATCCTGTGACCTACGATAACTTATGATCCTTGGATCTTAAGGGGCAACATGAGTTATTAAATCTGTTTAAGATGCATATTCCGCCAATAGTCACGGAATCAGAATATAATTTATTAGTGGATAGTTACGCAAAAGTTGGAGTGTTTATACAAACGCACTTTTTGAAGAAATAATTTAATATCCTCCAAAAATAAATTTCATTATCTGTTATAATTTTGTTTACACATGTGAGAAAGTATTTTAAAAATATGCTAGACAAGAACATGATGACTAATAATGAAATGGCTGAAGATTTAATTCAATTTATGAATTAATTCAAATATCTTAAAATTAAAATAAAGATTCAATTTGCTTGTATTAAATTTGAAATGTCGTGTCAATAGATATAATAAGAGGGAACGAGGGGGAGGGAGAGAGAGAGAGAGAGAGAGAGAGAGAGAGAGAGAAATTAAAGTGAGCGAATTATATTATGATAATTTTAAAACTATTTTTAATATCATGTATTAATAAAAAATAAAAAAATCAGCTTGCCATATTAAATATACAAAAAAATATAATTTAATAATACAATTTAATAATAGTCTAAAACCGAGCGTATATGATGTATTATAATACAGCAAAAAGTTATAATTACATATTATAAGCAGAATAAGTTTTGACTTAACTCACAGTCATTATCAGCTGTTATGTATGCATCTCAGTCAAATGTTATAAAGTCAGAGATTGATCAATTATGGTCCATATCATAATATAATAATCATAGACACCAATTTTACGGTGGTAAATATAATACATAAAATTTTTAGTTCTTTTCTCTGTCCATGATTTTTTATGTTGAACATCTTGTTAATCGCACGAGTAAATAATTATTAAAAAATTCTCAATAACCTAAACATTATAAATAAAATAAACACTCTAATGAACAAATTGATATAAGAAAAAGAAAAACTTAGAATCAATATATAACAATCAACGTAATAAAATTCAAACTTTACGAATACATCGCTATTCTCAGATTGAAAGTCTCAAAGAGAAACGAGAAGACACGTACAAGACAAAACTTTATAAAATAAACATTATAGATCACACAAATATTAATAAAAATTATTGTTAGACATTCTCTTGATTAAATTTAAATAAGAATTATCTAACATAACGACAGTGTCATTATTTAAATTAATGTTATTAGTTTAAGATTTAATGTGAATCATTTCTGAAATTAGTTAGTAGTCATTTATAATAATTGTAGTTCTCTGATAATAGTGGCTAATGAAGATCATGAGTAAAGTTGGAACCTGTTTTGTTTATGATATATAAAATTATTATAATCTTTTACTGCAATATAATATTTTCTTATGTACACTTGATATTTCGGCCTACTATTATTAAATTATATTTTTATGATTGTATTAATAAATTACATATTTATTCATCTCTTATCTTTTCATTAAAAGTGAAACCAAATAAAAATCTTCGCGTACCCACGCAGAGTATGTCATGTCTGCAAGATTTAATAATGAGAAAAATAGATTGTCTCAGAAAGGTTAAACCGGATATGTAATACAAAATCCGGAACGTGTAAAAAAAAGGTTTTTTGAGGTGTAAAATATGGTCGTCTCTTGCTCGCTTGCTGCGGTCATGCGTTCTCCATGCGCTTGCATCCACCCCGTGATACTTATCATAGAGGGGATTGGCGGGGATTGTATTTGAAGAGCGACCGCGCAATTTCACCCCTCAAACGAGAGGGAGAAGCCACGGCTTCAACCGCACGCGACTATCCTTTGGCATACGAATCGCGTATTCCGTATCGACAATTGATCGAGAACGTAACATTGTCTTGAAGAGGTGCATCTTTAAAAAATCAGAGTCCTACAAACTATTCGAAAAGATCAAGATATGAAGGTTGGTCATGTATTTAATTTTTGCATAATTTTAAAATAGATAGAAATTAGATTGATTTTAAACTTAACGTATACATTTTAAACGTATATACGTGACAACAAAGACAGTGATCGAAATTGATTTTATCTAATATGCAACGCTACTTCTGAAATTGTAATGCTATACTTTTGATACATATGTTTTCTTAAAAATACTTTAAGATAAACACATAAATTTATTGCATACTTATGTTGATTTATAAAAGCACTGTGAAGTATTTTTTTATGTGCATAGTAGAATCTTCTTCTTTTATAATAAAATAAGTAATTTAAAACATTCTTTTATTAAAAACCGTTTTATTGTATTTTGTGTATATGATTTAAATCATATAATATAATACATGCATTTATGAAGTATAACTTAGAGTATTGGAAATCTTCTAAATTTTGCATATTATAATTCTTTTATGATAGTATATGTATATTAAAATTTAAAATACTTATAACATTAAGAATATTGATAATAAGCATAATATTACATAGTATAGATAATATAGTATACTAATAATATACGAATTAAAAGCTTAATATACTAAAATGCATAATATATTAATAATATTTAAATAAAATGCTTATAAATTTATTTTAATTACTAAATTTAAAAACTATAATAAATAAATAAATAAATAAATAAATAAAATAAATAAATAATGTAAGTAAATTTAAATTTTAATAACAAGCTGATCGTTTATCAAACATAAATCCAGCAGATAATTATTAATACTGGTATATAATAATGTCACAACATAAAAGTTTGAAATGCGAATTAAATATTTAATATGTTTTATAAATTATTATATAATATTATAATATTATTCTCTATGCTATATATCAAACTTTATTTTTTATATAATTTGAAAAGTTATATTTTAAAATTTAATTTCAAATCCACCTAGTAATACATTTAACATCAAAATGTAAAAAATAACGGTGTATAAACTTTGTCTAATAAACTTACAAAAATCACTCTTAATTTAAAAAATGTGCAAATATTAGAATTAAATGCATATTACAAAAATATTGTATGATAATAAAAAATGTTTGACATATGGATACTGGCGCTCTCATAATTGTCAGTAAAATAACAAATGCTAACGTGATTGTTTTTATAAGAACAGCTGCATATTAAATACCAGAAATGATGACGTAAGTCTTATTTTTTATTTTTATATTATGCAAATCAATTTTAATTTTCTGTGATGCATATTACATTTAAAAAAATGTTAATACATGCGAAATCGTTATCGATTATCTCCGTTGAGTTAATTAAATCGAATTGAATGCATTTTGTATAGCATTTCAAATAACGTAACAACTTAGCTAATAGTTAATTAACATTATTATAATATTAATCTTTGATGTTAAGCAGCTTAGGCATGGAATTTATGAATTCTGATGCTTATGTAACGCGGACATTTGTTGTAAATCATTCGTTCAGGATGCACACAGGTGTGTGTGTGTGTGTGTGTGTGTTTGTGTGTGAATTGTTATTTTTAGTACATACATTCACAGTGTTTTACATTCACGAAAAATATCGAAATAGCTTTACATGTTAATGCCTTGTTTCGTCTGTAATTAATACTTTGTTACGTTACGCAGATTACCAAATATCTTTGCTGCACTCTGGCTTGTATGTGCCTACTGAAGGTGGCAAATACTGAAATTTCGAGAGACAAGGTAAAAATACATATTTCAATAAATAATTTTATTTGCATCAGAGCGAGCATCAGAGAGTTAAATGTGTGTTAAATTAACTATAGAACTATCTGTAGAATTGTCTGTTAAATTATTTGCAGATTTATAAACAATATTGCAATATTTATTTGTTAAAGACTGCTTGTTTCTTTAATCAATTATTGAATGACAGAAAAATTTATGATGTACAATATGTTTTATACATAGATTAATAGTATAAGAGATTATGTTTTATGTAGATTAGATATATATGTATAGATTAATAGTAAGAGAATTATCGTTTGCACAAATTTAATATCAAACTTTAACAAACAAGTATCAATCATTAAGTATCAATCTTCCACACGGTTTAAAAAAAGATAAAAATAAAATTAATGGAGGAAATGGACGGGTAGAATTCACTTTTGCAGTTCGAACGACAGCTTCTAAATGCCCTAAACGCTGAGAAAACAATCAAGTCAAAGAGACCATTTTGCAATACTTTCACTGGTAAGAACTAATTTTTATTTCTTTTATAACATTCAACAATACTCTCTACAAATGATTTTTAAAAATTAAAACAAATTATTTTTGTTCGTAAAGAACGTTTAGAAATAGATCACAAGATAGCATATATTTTGAAATTTTGATATTCTACATTAAGAAAAGAATACAGCCAATTTTAATAAATATTTATTAGGAGTATTCAACTAAATATTTATTAAAATTGATTATATTTTTTCTTAGTGTAATTATCAATAAATTATTTTTGATACCTCGCAGGATGTGGCAGATTTGTTTCGGAAGAAAGGAGAATGAAGAAGAAAGGACTTTCCACTCTACAAGATTTATCGGACTTTGAAGTGACGAACAACAACGTTCAACTTCCGGTTTCTCTGTACAGGGCAATGCTAGATGCCGCTAAACAAAATGTTTGGAAAGTGATGGATCATGAGGCATATGATTATCGATTACAACAAATACCGCGGATTTATCTTTCGGGTCAAATGCCTGTACGCAACACGATGGAAAGCTAATTTTAACGGACACAATTTGATGCATAGGCACCGTCAGAATTTGTAACAGACGAAATTATACTTTATTTTCTTGTTTTCAAATGCGTATTATGAAATTTATTTACAATACTAATTAAATATTTCATAAGAAATTATGTTAATGAATTTACCTATATTGTTTTATTGTTAACTAAAGCTTAATTCTTCCGCGACAGGATGCAATCGTATTTTTTTGCAGCTATTTTACGGGGCTTATGTTTTAACACAAATTTTATTTATTACTTCGTCTCATAATTAAAAAAATTATAAATTTAATTAAGAAAATTGTACAATGACATTTTATTTTAAGTACAACTTCTGAAAATTTATGTATTATTCACGAATGTATTATTCACGAAAGAAGCATATAAAAAAATGTAATCAGTATAATATTGGTGTTAGCTAGAACTAAATTAGAAAGTTTTATTTGCAGGAGCACATTTTGACTTTAGTTATGCATTTATTTATATGTACCTGATCCTCCCAATAACGTCTCAATTAATTTGCTAACTTAAAATAATATTAAGTATACATATTTTTTTAAACTACTGTTGAATCGGATTTGAATTGTATTCAATAAATTCTATAAAACCTGTTATCTAATTAATGTGTAAAAAAAAGACTATTGACTTTGTTTTTTTTTGTTTTTTATAATAAATCACGATACAACATACACATGCACGCGTCGCGCGCGCACGCTCACACACACACACACACACACACAAAATCTGTTTAATAGTAGCAAAAGTATTGACAATATTTTTAAGAGCATAGCAAATACAGATTTCTAATAATTGTATATTTATCTTAAATAGTCTAGAGATAAACGATAAGTTTTATTAACATACTTCCATTCCACATGTATCTTGTGTTTCCTGAATATCGTTGAGACGATATTGATAATGATTTTGATAGAATTATACGTCTGGGAATACTCAATCCGACACACTCTGGATTATCCGCCACTCCTGCTGGTCTACCCCAGAAATCTTGTGTACAAAGCGTGGCCGGATCCCAAATTCGAGATCGTCGATCCTCACGCAGGCCTCTTAAAGAATGATCTAATACCTACCAAATCACATATGATGATAATAATTATAATTTATATACAAATAAATATTTCGCATTTAACAATATAATAACAGAAAAGATATTAAATCTAATTGGTAAAACAAATTTACTAATAAATAATTCATAGAAAATCATTTCTAACTCTTACTTCTTTACATAAAATAATGATATTGTTGAGCAAGATATCTTTTATTATTATAAATTATAAATAATAAGTAAGCATAAAACATGTGCGTAATTAACTTAGAAAAATTTAATGTCTGTTTATATTAATAATTAATTTTAACGTTTCTTTGTTTTATTAATCTAGAATAATAAACTTAACTTCTACGTAAAAAATATTCGCAAATTTATAAATCACAGATAATATATCAAATTTAAGATGAGGAAAAACATATCTTCCTAAAAGATTTAAATTATTTGATACTTTTTAATCAATGATATACACGTCAAATATATTTATCTGAAAATAATAAAGTAGGAAAATAAGCCCAAACCCACAATATTAATTTTGTCTATCCTTTATGGTAGAATGCGAGCGACACGGAATTATACTTATGTCATATAGTCACGATTTTCTAACTTTGTTTAAAATTATTCGATCACATTGGAAAGATTCTTCTGTTTTGAAAACGTCTCGAGAGTATTTTCTATGAGGACGGTACATTCCGGCACAACGCTTTTCTTTTTTCCATATCAAAGATACCGCTCGCAGTCCTTCTTCTATATTTTGTAATTATATTACATAATTATATCCGAGAATTGTTTGTAAAATTTATTTAGGAGTTATCAATTTATTCCTCGGAATAATCCATCTCAACTTCGAGCGTCGGATGTCTTATATGCGTACCTCGAGGCGGATCCTGTAAGGAAACGGCCACGTGAGAACGGAATCATAACGACCGCGGGTCAATCCGACAGCTACGAAGACAGTGCCATCGGGAAAATATTTCGGAGTGATTTTCAGATACATGGCATAACCGCTGCGACCCGCATAGAAAGTAGAGCTGCGTATCCAACGGCCTGTCTCCCAGCTCGACAGCATCACGTTGAAGTTCCTCACCTGCCAGTAATAAGTGAATGCATTTGTCGAACCTAGAATAACAATAATTTGTTAATTTACAATTTTAATCTTTAACTAGTAATTATCGCCTTCTTTTGTTGATGTATTATTTTTGTATTATTAGGTGTTGGAATTAATTCGTAGCGTTTTTTAATGAAAGAATGTTATTTATTTCACATGAGCATTAAAAAATACATTAATGAAAGTACTTCCCATCACTTGTAAAACGCTACGAATTAATTCCAACACCTAATATATTTTTGTGACATTTTACATAAAAAACGTAGAGATTTCTGTGATGCTTATTATCAGATATTCTTTGATATAACAATGTTAATATAACAATGTTATCTAGATCTAAAGTTTTTTCTTATGTCACACACGTAGAGTTCTAATTATGAAGCTAATTGAATAATCGGTAATTACTAGGTTGAGATAAGTTTCAGTAGTGAGTTCAAGTAAATTTTAGACGATAAAATCTCATGATTCATTTAATTGAAGTATAAATCCTCAAATTATATGTATATAAAATTTGATCGTTAATCCTCCAATTACATGTATCATCATGCATGTAATTTGAGCATGTATCATCATGCATGTGATTTGATCAAATTTTGATATTATATAACATTGAATTACGAGATATTATATAACATCGAATTTATTATATAACGTAAAAATTTTTGTTGACTTTGTTAAAAAAGTCATATAACTATTTATAATATTAAATATTCGCTCAATAAACTTGACATAAAAATTTTATTAAGAAAGTTCGGTGTCTAAATCCATTAAAAATTACTAAATTGATGTATCAACAGTTTTGAAATATTTTATTTAAATACAATTTCTTAGGTAAAAACTGATTAATTTACAGCCATATTATCGTAATATTTGATAAATATCTTAATAATATCTTAATTAGAATATCTTAATAATTAAATTTTATTATAATGCAATGCAACTAAAATTTAATAGCAATTGCGTTATAAGTTTTATTCTGGTTTCTCAACGGATTACGCTTTTACTATTCAAATGCGACAGAGTTAATCATATACCGCAACTCGAAATAAATCTCAGTACTTTGTTGTACTATTCATTTCGTTTGAATCATGTTTATCCTAACTAAGCTTCAGCTTTATCGTCCCGTGGACAAGGCGAACTCTCACCTTTCCTTCCCTTCAGAACACAGAATCCATTTACATAAAACCATGATCTCTTACATACAAATGTTTAGCTTAGGCTCTGAAGTATGTACAATGCGTGTTATGCAAGAAGTGCAAGACTTCTATACGTGTCATCCGCGTTATATTTTGGGTCTCATTATTCTAGAATAGAATTCCTACATACATATACGATAACATACACACACGAAGCTGTCACAATGTTTTGTATAGCCTTAGTTTCTCGAAAATGGATTATACATTATTATTCAAGTTGTAAGCGATTGAAAATAAAGCTATTTAATTTTTCATACTAAACTTGGAATGTAATCAGGTTGTGCAAAAGTTATTCATTTTTTCAGAATTCAAATTAAATTTTTGATTTTTATTTAATTATTTAATGGCAATTATTAAAGATTGCAATAAATAATATTTATTTGAAATTAAAGTTTTAGACAGAAATCCATTCAGGATATATTTTGCAAGACATATAAATATATTACATCTTATAGAATTGATAATTAATACATAGATAATAATTAATATAATAATATTAAAATAGAAGTTTTCTTTCAATTTCTATTATATAGTTAATTAAAATTTAATAACATTTATGGTTGTTAAGATGTAATTGTTACAAGATTGTTCTTTAAGTTTACTAATTTCATTTGTATATGCAAGATAGGCCATGGTAACAGAAGCACTTGCAAAGTTTTGAGAACGTGAAATCTTGCAGTTACTAAAGAACTTTGTGTTTCTAGTTGCTACTTTGTGTTTAGTTGAGAGTGTAAAGTTAACTTAACTTTAGCCTATTGCTATATATTATAAATTACATATGTTAATAAATGCATTTCTCTATGCGTTGAAAATTATTTAAAAAATTTATTTATATATTACAAAAGTATCATGTTTCAATGAAAAAAATATAGCTAAATTACCATATAATAATTGCACTAACCATTTAATATTGATAAGCTTTGCATGGTATTGTTGAATTTATCGATCTCATCTTGTCTCGGGGATAAATAATCAAATATTCCATCGTGAAGATTAGCGTTTCGCACACTTTTCAAATAATTCAGTTGTTGCTCCAAAATGCTGTAAATTAACCACTTAATATCCGCAAATTCCTTGCTCAACTTTTCCTCCAGACTCGCGAATTTTTCGTCCATTGTTTCTGAAAGCATACGTTCATCAATTACAATTAACTTTCGTTAGTATATTTATTTGGGCAAGATTATTTTCATTCCGGTGAAAAAATGTAAACAATTTCTAAGATTTAATTTCATCGGATGAAGATCATTATCTTTATATAATAGTATAAAGCTTAATAATTTAAAAATTCATTCATCTTTATTTAAATTTGGAGCCGAGATTCAGCGCGCCAAAAGTTTGAGATTCTCCACGTGCAGTGTTATCGTTCACAATTTTCTCTTTTTAATGTGTTATTAGTTGATATAACATGTTAAAATCGGAAAATAGTAATTGAGACGTAAGAATTGAAATGTGAATGCGTATGGAATCTTCTTTTAATATTATCGAAAATGATGAAAGTTGTTTACTTCTTATGAAAGATAAATTATTGCCTAAAAATTTCATCTTTCTCTCTTTTAACTATTTACAAATATTAAATTAATCTCATAAAAAATCGTTATACAGGAAAAAAGTACAAGTACTTGTATATAAAAAATATTTGAAGGTATATGTATCATTAAATGAAAAATTGACTATTATATTTTATTCATTTTTATTTCCACTTACTGGCCTTACATGCTCCAGTAAATACTGTTGTGACAGTGGCACGTGCATTCGCGACCACATCTTCCGTTGCAATTTTGCAAATGGTATGCTGCGTCTCCGTGACATCATTGTTACTGACATTGGCCTCAATCGTCGCTAAAAATGCGTGTAACAGATAAATTCGTAC